TGTCAAAACGATCCTCCCTGCGCTCTGGGATCCGAGTAACGCGTATAATACACAACACAAGTACGTTCTGACGTCTCTTGCCGAGGTCAAGAGCATACTCTTGATCAACGATGTTGCAAATGCAGAGGAGCTTTTACTTCACCTTTTTTCCTCCTTTTTCGATGGTGTTTCGGGGTCGTCAAAAGCAGCGTCGGGAGAGCAAGTCGCCAAGGATGTCGAGTTTCACATGACGGATATTCTGGTGACTTTGGTTGAAGAGAGTCCTTCGCTTCCGCCGGCTGTATTAGATGTTATTATGGCACAATTTCTACGGGCGGCGCCCCCAGGAGGCCACAAAGAGAAAGCAGACGCCAATGGCAAGCAAACCACTCTTCTGCCCAAAGAGGAACCCGAGGCATATGTCATGGCTAAAACGGTGTGTAATTCATGTCCAGAGAAGATGGCACGCTATGTGGGCCAATACTTTAGTGAAGTAATTATGGACGTCTCTGGAAACAGTGGAAATGCCAACGGACATAGGGATGACGACGATTCGGATAATGATGATGGTACCGCGGGCCCTTCAGAGTCTGATTTTAAGGAGTTACGAAAGGCTCACCAGCTTCTGCGCGAGCTTTGGCGAGCAGCACCTACGGTATTGCCCAACGTCGTACCCCAAGTTGATGCTGAGCTTTCTGCCGATAATGTTCAACTGCGTTTGTTAGCAACTGAGACCTTAGGGGATATGATATCTGGAATTGGTGCTGCTGGACCACCTCCCTCCCCGGAGCTCGACCCGGCAGCATATCCGCCTCTTAAGCTGAATGATGAGGTTCCAGACCATCCCGCTACAAGCATTCTCACTACCCCGATATCTCCCCTATCCTTCGCACAAACGCATCCTCAAGCATTCCACAATTTCGTTGGCAGGAGGAACGACAAATCTCCTTTAATCCGGGCAGCATGGACAATAGCTGCAGGTTACATCGTTTCGACATCTGCGGGCAACATTGGGCTCAGCCGGGAGGACGAATCAGTATTCGTCAATGGCCTGCGAGATAAGTTGACTGACAACGATGAGAAAGTTCGACTAGCTGCTGTAAAGGCCATCGAAACTTTCAGCTTCCGTGATATCGTCACCAAGCTAGCCGCCGCTGGAGGTGTGACTAAGGAGGGCACAGTGCTGTTTACTCTCGCAGATCGTTGTCGAGATAAAAGGTCGTCTATTCGTGTCGAAGCAATGGCCCTTCTAGGCAAACTCTGGGCGGTGGGCAGTGGTGAATTAGCAACCGGACATGAATTGGTTACTTCAGCATTGTCTGGTATCCCTACCCGCATATTCAACACGTTTTACGCAAACGATTTAGAACTCAACGTTTTATTGGAACGTGTCGTATTCGAATGTCTCATCCCCCTATCTTTCCCTCCGCCTCCCAAGGCGAAAGGGTCCAAGTCGTCAAACGGCAACTCTCAGTCCCAGTCGGCTGTTGATTCTGGTTATGACCAAGATAGGATCCGCGCCGAAAGGATCCTGCTACTCGTGAAAGATCTGGATAGTAATGCTAGAAGGGCTTTTAACGCATTGCAAGCACGGCAACCCCAGTTTTCAAAGGTGTTAGAAAATTTCGTTCGCCAATGCGATGCATTCAACGGAGGGAATCCAGAGGGGAACGCAGATGGAATCAAGCAAAATCTCAAAAAGACGATCCAATACTTATGCCAGTTCCTCCCTGATGCAATCAAGGTCGAGGCGGATCTACACAACTTTGCCAATTGGCACGACCGTCGCTGTTACCAGCTAATTAAGTTTGCAGTCTCTGCGGAGAGCGATTTTAAGACGGTGCATAGAGCCGTTAAGGAATTTGTCAAGAGGGTCCAAGGCTCACCAAAACCTCATATGTTGGACACTTTATTGCCTCTTCTTTACCGCTCTGCCTACATTGTGTTGAATAAGAGTCACCTCTCGACCTACATGGACTGTTCGAAGAGCGACAAGGATGGGCTTGGAGCGGCTGCTCAGGAGATTACCACCGAGATTTCCCAAAACAATCCAGACTTATTCAAGACACACGTTGGGCAGCTTTGCAAAGACCTGGCAGATGGTGCGCCAACCGCTGATCGGACAAACGAGGTTACGATGGTCGAGACATTGAAAGCTTGCTCCTCGTATTCGAAAAAGTATCCCAATGAACTTCCAGATGACCGCAAGTTTATTCAGGCACTAATGAATTACGCGTTGCACGGAGAGCCGGCCAAAGCCGCAAAATACGCAGTCAACGTCATGATGGCCAGAAAAGATGACAGAAGTATGGTTTCGGCGACGGACTTATTACAAAGAATCATGAAGAACTGGGAATATAACTCGCCTCATTTCCTAACCAAACTTGCGGCTGTCAGCCAGCTAGAGCTTCTAGCGCCCAAGGTGACAGCGGATGCCAACGATCAAATCATTGACACGGCGCTAGAGGATATACTACTTAAAGTTCGTACAGATGCTAAAGAATCAGACCCTGAGTGGGTTACCGACTCTGAACTTGATGAGGAGTGTCAAGTCAAGTGTTGGGCACTCAAGCTAGTAGTCAATCGCCTTCGAGGCATTCGAGATTCAGAAGAGGCAAAAGAGCTGGCCGTGCCAGTCTTCAAGCTTCTTCGAAGTCTCCTAAAGCAGGCAGGCGAACTATGTAAGACTAAGGATACCCCTAAACATCACAAATCCCGCCTGCGGCTGCTTGCTGGCCAGCTCTTTTTGAAAATATGTACCTCGAAGCACTTGGAAGAAATATTTTCGCATGCCGACTTTAACCAACTGGCCTTCTTGACGCAAGACCCAAGCGCTATGGTCCGTCGCTTATTTGTCGAGAAACTCCAGAAGTATCTCGTACAAAATAAGCTGCGACCTCGATTCTACACCATGATCTTTTTGACGGCCTTTGAACCGGATGTGGCATTCAAGAGCCAAATTGAAACGTGGATACGGTCTAGGGCTCGCTTCTTCCGAGACGTCAAACAAAACGTCATGGAATCGACAATGGGCAGGTTGATCTCCTTATTGGCGCATCACCCAGATTACGGGACGGAAGTAGACGACTTGATAGACCATGCCAGATACCTGCTATACTATGTCAGCAACGTTGCTACAGAAGCTAACTTTGGGATGATATTCAAATACGCTGAACGCGTAAAGCAGACTAGGGATGCCATTACCCCTACAGAGAGCGAAAGACTCTACGTCATCAGTGATCTCGCCCAGAGCATCCTGAGAAAATGGCAGGAAAAGAAGAATTGGACTTTCCAGGCATATTCTGGCAAGGTTGGTTTACCTATAGGACTATACACGGCGCTTCCTAGCCACAGCGTAGCGCAAGAGATTGCCGAGAAGCAATACCTCCCAGAAGGACTCGACGAACAGTTGGACGACTTATTAAAATCAGTAGATAAGAAGAAGGTATAGTCATAAAACATTACATTTCCTTTACTATTTGTGTTCCGAGCTAACATTATTGGTTTACAGAAACGTAGAGGTGCAGACGAACGTACTGAAGGGCAACCTGCCTCGAAAAGGGTTAGGACAACGGTGCCAAAGGCCGGCACGAAACCAAGAACGCCGAAGGTTACAAAATCCTCATCAAAAAGACCTGCTGTTAAATCCGCGAAGAGTTCATCAAAGTCTAAGAAAGCTGCTGCGTCGTCATCGCCCGCCGCTGATTCTGCAGACCGTAGGCGCAGTGGCCGTTCAAAAAAGAACTCATCATATATCGAGCGAGACTCGTCAGAAGACGACGAAGACATGCTTGCGGGCGTAGCGGAATGGGACTACTATGACGGCAGCGGAAATCCTGTACAGGACGAAGATCAAGATTCCTCAGAGTTATCCGACCTTGAGGAAGAGCCTGAGGCCGAGCCTGCAACCGAAAAGGGAGAAGCAGATGAACCCGAGGAAGACGAAAGCGAGCTTAGCGATGTTGGTGATGAAGAGGAGGAAGCTCCTCCATCGTCGCCGCCGCCGAGAACGAACGGGAGGAAAAGTCGTGCCACTACTACCTCATCTCCCGTTTCGAAGACCAAGGTTCTAGCCTCACGGCCTGCTATAAAAGCGAGCACGGCTAAGGGCAAATCGCCTGCTACATCCAAGGCAAAAGCGAAACCGGCTCCTAAGGCTAGGCCCGTTAGCACTCGATCTACGAGATCGAGGAGAGCTGCGATACAGGATGAAGATGAGGGTGGAGGTTCCGAATAAGGCGGCGGGCCCATAACTACAAACCGAACTCAACAGGCTAGCTGCTGTGTGGACACGAGTGCAATAGAAGAGGCAGTAGGGTCTGGAGGAGAAAACCCTAACTGATATTGATATGCGAAGTGGAATTTACAGCTCATGATTCGTCTCCAGGTTTCTATCCTCTCTCCAATGTGTAGGAGTAGCAGCTCCGGATTGCAAGACGAAAATACGATAACGAGATAAGGTGGTTGATCCAGGGTCAGGTTCGCGGATGAGGTCTTTTGACTTACTGTTGTTGTTTTTTTGCTTTCTGTTAAAATACCTTCAACCTCCTTTTTATACCCTTGTTCGTGTAGGGAGAAGAGAAGATCATATAATGAAAATTCCTTGCCGTGGTGCGGTGATTTCGAGCTTCCTTTCTTTATCTTGAGTTGCGTGCGTAACGGTTAAGTGTGCTTGTAATACGACAGGGTATATATACGATGTTGCAAAATGCTATGCTAAGGGGCGTGGAGTGCTTTGCTCTTAAGAATATTCTCGCTGGCGTATTTCTACCTAGGTTTCTATAAAAAAATCCGGATGTATATTAATGCAATGGTGTGGAAATATAGAGGTATCTTGGTCCGACTTCTAGATATTCTCGCCATGAGAAGAGTGTATTGGTTATAGTCTGTCCAGTCAGTCTAGAAGAAAATAAAAGGATATCAGTAAAGAGGAAATATTCATTACGTGTTATATAATATCAATGTGCATAATACGAGGAGCACTTGCTGAACTATTTATGCCTGGCTGCACTGGTTCTTTATGTGAATATAAATACTAGGATACCACTGCACCACTAAAAGGTAATTTCGTAATAGTCTTCTATGCTATTACAGTGTAATTCTACCTATCGAAGAGTCTAACCTAGATGCTTTTCAAGTCGCTAAACAAGAACCATATTCTCCAAACTCCATCCGGACCACACGTCTTGTGGTATTTCCTAACCTGGGTGCCGTGTTATTATGTGGTATCGTCATCTGTAGTCCAATAGCCTCCGCCTCTCTAGGTTGTACATATTAGAAATAAAAGCAAAAAGCTTGCCGTGTTTTGACCAAGAATTGCTACATGCTAAGTGGTAAGGAGAGGGACTGCAAATGCCCTTTCTAAACATCCGGGTGGTATTTACCACACACGCTCATTTTCGAACCTTCTCCCGGGCTTTCCAGTTGTCCCGCACACTCTTGCTGTGATTTAGGAGCTCCTCGCGGGTTACCCCATCCTGGATACTCTCCATAACGCTATTAACGACAGAGATGTGGTTCCCATCTGATTTGTCGTCCCGGAACCGGTAGAAACGCCATCGTTTTTGGCTGTCCATATACACTTCTACTACTCGCTCGTCTAGAGCTTCGTTCAGTCCTTTCAGGATCTCCCACTCGTCATCTTCCAGGTGCAGCGTATCAAAGATATGATATTGACCACTACCGTAATTTGCTAGTAGGTCTACCGCAGGTGTACTATCGTAGTCGATGAAGGGCTCTGTAATGCCCTCGGCTCGCTCTTGCTCGTCCGGCTCAACTAGTGGGAACTTTAGCTTCCACCGGAAATCGACGGTATTCTCATCGGCATCCTTCCACTTTAAAATGTGCGGGTCAGTGCCGGGTTTGTACTCGCTATGCAGAGCCGTAAATATCAAGCCGTCATTTTCATGCTTGAGATTCTTGATTACATCCTCGAAAATCATGCGAATACCGTATGCCATTTGCATAGACTTCAGGTCGATGAAAAAAGGCTGGTATTGCCTCTCTTCGGGGAAGTCATCGAGTAGTTTCTTATATGGCTTAAAGACTTGTTCCTGAAAGTAGCCCAACCGCTTTGAGAGCTCTCGCGACATCAGCGATTGACCATCTAACGCGAGGCAGTCGAAGACTAGATATCGAGGCTCCTGGCGCCCATCACTTAGGGTGTCCACAACTAGTTCTCCATCCAGAACAGTTCCCCTATGGAAGGCTTGATGATTCCCTGGGAGGGGGAAGTGTAGAGAACCTTCTTGAATATACCAATAATCATTTTTACGATCGATCAAGTAGTGACTCTCTTGGCCGCTTTCGTCGGCGGCTAGGTATAGCAGATATCGAATGCCATCTGATTTCTCGCAGACATAATAACTATAGAGCAAGGCAAACAACGTTAGACCCTTAAAACGACAGTTGTACATAGGTAAGTTTTGGAGCAGGAATATGCACTCACTCTTCTCTCATTAGCTCATCTAGGTGTTTTCTCGTAAAGCTCACGGGTTGTGCGCCGGGAAACGCGGTCGAGTTGCGATGAAGAATGTTGGCTACATCCTGGCGCAGACCGGCAGCTACGTCGCCCGGGACTTTAATGCCTGGCTCATCGATGGATCGTATAGGTAAATTCATGGTGGGCGACGTAAGAGCTCAAGGAAGATAAGACGAGGCGAATGGAGATGTAAAGATCGGAAAATGTAGTGAGTGTTTGTTTTGACGGGCGATGCGATGCGACACGGGGGTAAAGAAAGGAAAAGGAAAATATTAAGTAGAAGAGGTTGGGTAAGGAGAATGAAGGAGCACATTCACGTAGTAGTAGTAGGCGAGCTTCATTGCATTAAGTCGTCGTCTGTATCGGAAGTTGCTATCGAAAATATGTCCATCGCAAACTAAAACGTAACGTACATAAGGGAAAGTGGTATGCTACCTACCTACCTATATGTATTGCTACATGCTACACCGCGGAAAGAACAAGGCTACGAAACTCTAATGAGAATTGCGCCGCCATGAGCCTTATCGACCTTATCAAGCGTCGATCCCTGCAGGAGATGGCCAAGTGACCCACTACCTAAGCACATGTGCCAAGCCTCTTCTCAGCCAAACTGGGTTTAACCGGCTGTTTAAGGGGGGGGCTAAAATTTATATGATTACTGTGTACTTCGTAGACTGTGACAACATTGAACCCTTAAGTTACATATGCATCTAACTTAGTCTGTATGTATTGTAAATGGAGCTTTCTCGAGCCCAATATACATACTATGTACTGTATAGATTATAAAGTACATAGTTAATAAAGTATAAACTTGCCCAAATGTAACTTAGAAACACCTATCATCTCATATAACCATCAGACAAGTTCTCGAACAAACCTACTCGACCTCATATCTTTAGCTAAATTAACTATCGAAACAACTAGTTGTTTTCAACATGGGACATCTCTATCAAGAGAAAGCTTATTATACGTCGCCGAGAGCTGGTATTAATACAAACTCCGCGCTTCCCCGTTGCAAATTTTAATAACTCCCCGGAGTAACTAACCAGTACCAAACTGGCCGAGGCGCATATCTAAAGGGGCCATTTGGGAAGGATAATATTCTCCAATCCGTAACTCCACACCATGTCTTATAAAGATTTTGCATTCCTAGACTCTTCTGCTCACATTTCATCTCTTTACATACGCCATGCATCGTTTATATTCACGCGACTCCGCCCGCCTTGCCTTCCGAGGCCAGCCGGAGCTCGACCTTCTCTTTATGTACCTTGTTCTTAAGATGGACCTCGAAGTTCGAAGCTGATATGTCTGGTCCCGGTGTGTACAGCTTACCCGGGCAATCGAGACACCGGATCCGCGGGAGGAAGTAAAATCGCACGTGCGGGGGAATCGACTCGCCCTGCTGAGGTAGAGGGACAGGCGCGCCCGTGTTGGAATCGACCGAGCTATACCGCATGACTCCTTCAAACCTGTCATTTGCATACGCCGGTTCTTGTTTGAACTTCTCCAGCGCCGTGACGAGCCATGCGGGAGGAGGGGGCTGTTAGAGGTTGTGAGTATGAGCGCTAGATGAGATAAAAAAAGGGGGGGGCCCTGCTAAGTCATAGATCGGGGTTACAGATCATAACGACTGCTGGAGAATCTGAAGATCGAGGGATTGGGGTGTTGGGATGGGTGGGGAAAATGTCTTACGGGAACTGGGGGAGGCGCCCCGGCTATCGATGCAGGGGCTTCAACTCGGCCGATCTGTCCTGGTGGTATAGTGTTGGAAGGGGTTGTCGCAATAGCTGCCGATGTCGAGGCGTTCGGAGTAGAGGGAGGAGGAGGCATGCTATTCGATACAGAGGCACTATGGGCACGGGCATGGTATTGAGATGGTGTCTGTGATCTGCCTGGTGTACTTTGCTTCAATCTGGGATCGCGTAATAAAATCTTCCGTAATCTCTCTTTATTCATAACCCTAAGCGTTATCTGGAGTTGTTGGGGTTCTTCGGTGTCTTCCCTAGTTAATTCACGCCCAAATCTTCTTGATGTCCGGGTTTCATGGTGATGTATCGTAGCTTCGGGGGTTTCGGACCGGCCGAGGTTCGCCATCCGCTGCTGTGCAGCAGTTGCAGCACCTCTCATACCTCTCGTTCTCGCCGTACCGGTTAACTGTGAAGCGGCAGGAGAATCAGGACCCGAATCGTCACTTTCATCGGAATCTGATATATCGCCGTCACGTGCTCCCGGTCCTCTCCTCCTGCCTGTGCTTGCGCCTGGCGCACCCGCGACTCGCTTATAAAGTCTGCTCTCTTCTACGTTTTCTGCTGCACCTGGTAGTGTAGAAGAGACAACAAGAGTCCGAATTGTTCTCTGTCTCTCCTTTAGATCTGGTAGGGTAGGTCCTCCTCGTCTATTTATGGATCTCTTTTGTCTTCTTTGCTCTCGGGAGAATACCATCTCGTTCCGTTCTAGGTCCGCCTCGCTGAGCTCATATAGATACGGAGCGTATTCCTTAGCCTGCTGCTGCGGCCGAAACACGGAGGGCAGCGGTGATGGGAGAAAGGCCATGATTAAATCCGGGTCCTCAATTGGTCTGCCGTCAAATGGGTGTCCTATACTGTATAAGCTCCGCGTGAAAAGCTGCGTCTGCTCTCGGATACAGTGAGCAATGGCTGTGGTGAACTCTCCGGAGAGTGCAAGGTCCTTGGCCATGCTCGCCGCAAATTCCTCGGGCGAGTTGAGAGGGTTATTGATCTCCCATTCGAACTGGTCTACTAAGGTATGCTGCCCGATGGTGATGTTAAGCTTGACTAATATTCTCATCTCGTCATTCTTCCAAGCCGAGTAAGGTAACTCGGGGTCTAACGCATCTTCATCGGAGAATACAAAGGGGTAAAAGTCGTTGAGCTGCTCGTGCATCTGCTGCACAACCTGCTCAAATACGGGCTGAGCGGCAGGCGCCTTGAGTCCCATATCTTCTACTAAATGCGCCGCGAATAGATCAGCACCGACAATTCTCTCGTGGAGATTCCATGTGAAGGTGTCGCGCAACTTGATCTTGTCCCAATCTACATCTAGCCGGACGGGAACTAACTCTTCATGTTGCTCGGCCTGCTGCTTCATATCCTTCCTCTTCCATTTCAGAGGCGGCGCTTGTCGCTTACCCGGCCTGAGTTTCTGAGCTGGATACATCAATCGCGACTGTTGTCCGATCTCTGTTCTCCCATTACCATAACCACTGTAGCCCTCTCCGAAAAGTCTACTGGGTGTAAACCATGCTCTATATTCGTTTCGTAAAAGCTTATAGTCGTTGATCATTTTAAATTGGTATTTGTTATGCTCGTTTTGCCGATCTTTGTCGCTAACCATAGCAGCAGAGTGTATGTGGTCTCGAGCAATAGCCTGTCCTATCAGTATTTGTTTGAAGGTATCTTTGTCGCGACCCAAATGAGCGCCGGTGTGTGAATCGTCCAGCGCATCTGATCTATTTTTAGGGGTAGAGGTAGAAGAACGATCTGGTTTGGATAAAGAGACCGCGCCGGCAGCAGAACCGGCAGCGCTTGTTAGAGCCGGCTCTGCATCCTGTTGAGTTGCCATAACTGGTTTAAAATATCACATAGAGTGAGATATCCCAGGCGAAACTTGACGGTGATAGAGGAGCGGTTTCAATTTGTCGATCCTCTCTCACTGTTCTCCTACTGTCCTGTCTAACCTGGTCTTGTATTGTAGACGACGAATGTAATTGCAAATTGGCGCTATAGTGCACGGGGACTCGGGGACGGTATCGGGAATTTTCAGGAAGGTCATCGATTGAGCGCTGTGGTTGTGATGTTGTTGTTGTGCTGTCTCGATGAATTATTTAATAGGCGCTCAACTTTTTAGGAGAGCAGAACGTCTCGACAGTGGCTGATGAAGCGACCGCAACGGAAGAAGGCTGGACACGCGACGAACCGCGACCGAATGAGTTAAAGGAACATTTATTTTTGCACTCTCTGCAGCCAAATCACAAGTACCTTACTAAAAACTGTCTAGGTGCTAGTGCTAGGCTAACGTCCGTGCGTTAGGTTGTAACATAAGCAGCATAATATACTGATAAATACATAATCTCTTCTATTTCATACAATAAATTCAATTAAAGAGTATTATCATAACTCGATTTCCGCCTTCCGTCGCAACAAGCCTAATGGCGGTCCGGGCACACGGACCTGCAGCCCTGAACTAAATGCAGAGTAAAGAACGTCACCAGCCCAAAGGTGCTGCCCCTCTCTCTCTTATTACTCGCACTCGCACAAAGCCCCGCATTTAACGAAAATACCAAAATACCTTTAACCTGCCTTACCTATTCCCACTTCTTACTACCTCAAGCTCTTACTACCTCAAGCTTCACCTTATTACCATAAACTAGAAGCCAACCCAATTCCTTCCCAACCAGTAACAGACAGCACAATTGGCTAGGTGGTAAATATGTCCGACGAAAAGGATACCGGTTCGTTCATCAATCTCTATATTTCCCCTTCTTCTCTTAAGAGCTTCGTGTGAAATACCCCGCCATCGGTTCTGTCCGAATCTTCCTCGGGGTATTATGTTGGACCTCACGCGACTCGGTAAACTCGAGTAATAGCTAATTTATGTACCTCATAGACTACTCGCTGGCAAACCCAGACACCCTCACCAAGTATAGGGTCGCAGCCACCATATCGGAGAAAGTTCTTGCTGCCGTATCCAAGTTATGTGTTGCGGGCGAGAAGGTTGTCACTATCTGTCAGAAAGGAGACAAGCTCATTGAAGAAGAGGTTGCTAAGGTCTACCGCACAACTAAGCTTAAGGGTAAGTGCCTAAGGCCGTCAGATACTACACAGACCCTCCGTGCACTCAAATATTTGCTTATGTCATACGTGTGTAGGCTTTTCCCACCCCACGACTGTCTCTCCGGCTTCATACGTGACACCCTATACTCCCTTAGCATCCGACACCGCCGAAGCGAATGTCGAACTCCAGGCAGGTGAACCTGTAAAGATCCAGCTCGGTGCGCAGATAGACGGATTTGGTTCCATTGTCTGCGACACAATTATCGTTCCGCCGAAGGAGGGAGCGGAAGATGTCATCACCGGTCGCTCTGCCGACTTAATACTCGCCACGTATTACGCCAATGAGCTCCTCCTACGTCTCTTGGTCCCCCCTGGATTATTAACGGCCGGAAGCGACGAGGAGAAAGCGAAAGCTGCTGCAGCGAAACCCCCTACTCAGACCAAGATTACCTCTCTCTTAGACAAGGTTGCCAAGAGTTACGAGTGCAACCTGGTAGAGAGCACAACCTCCTGGCTATTTGATCGCAATGATATTGAAGGCAAGAAGAAGATTGTGATCGCTCCCGCAGAAGGTACTAAGGGAGAGGGCTTCCCTGAAATAGGCGAGGTATGGGGTGTGGAGATGGGCATGAGTTTGGGTTCTGGCAAAGTCAAAACGATTGACCAGCGGGCAACGCTACTCCGCCGCACGAACAATACATACATCCTGAAGTCGCAGACCGCGCGCAAGACGTTGTCTATTATCCAGAGCAAATTCGGTCACTTCCCTTTCAGCTTGAGACAACTCGAGGAGGAAGGTGGAGATACCAAGTACAAGGTCGGAGTGTACGAAGGCGTCCGTCAAGGCGTGCTACGACAGTATGAGTTGGTTGGTGACAAGGATGGCGCCCCTGTGGCCCGATTATTAACCACGCTCGGTATGTCCAAAAAGTCTTTCTTAACCTTCTTATTACTAATGATAAGGAAGCCATTACTAAAAATGGTATTACGAAACTCGGTGCGCCGCCCGCACCAGATCTAAGCAAGTTCCAGACAGATAAGAAGATTACCGATGAGGAGATTCTCAAGATCTTAGAGCAGCCCCTGAGCAAGAATAAGGGAAAGAGCAAGAACAAGAAGAAGAAGAAGCCCGCAAAGAAGGCCGCTAAGGCGAAGGATGGAGAAGCCGAGGAGAGTGAGGATGAGAGCGAAGAGTAGGCTTTGTCTATAGCGCAGACTCTTCCGGCGGCACGTATTAAACGAACCGGCAGTACCTTGACCACAGGTGATACTACGCCAGGCGAGTAGCGTGGGCTCCGAATTGCTTCGTTTATCGATTCGATATGACTTGCGTGCCTATCCAGTTCGGCATTCTGGCGTGTTGCTTCGAGCCACACAGGGCGGCCTGGTGCAGAAAAGTGCATAGTGGACTCCACGCAGTCCAAGGGAAACTGTTTACATAGGACTCAGCTTATGTGTTATTAGTCCCCGTAGAGGGAAAAAAAAAAGAATCAAAAAGAGAAGAATATTTGAGCTGAGATATGTCGAGATACGCGTCACATATGTGGAATTACCCTAACTAGGAGTCTTTCTAATGCTTGAGAAAGCTTGACGCACCGATCCTACGCTGACTACATCTGCCTTTGACTACGTAATGCCTAGGTAGTATAATGAGCACTAATGAGAAATAGGAGCCAAAGTTGATAGTGATTATTGCGCTTGGGTGCCGCGGCAGATTTAAGAAGGCAGACCTCTAGGCTCGGGAGTAAGAGAGTGTTATTCTCGCCTAGATGGGTACCTTCTGATACCGTATGTGAGTCAGAATCCCGGGGTGGCGTGATCATCTTCAAGGCAAGAAAAAAATAGAGAATGGGATAGATGCAGCAGGACAGGTGGGGAGAAAACAGTTGGAGGTGGAAATCTTGAGGTGTTCTTTAAAAAGGGGCATGTGATGAGTAGTAGTGATTAAATCGGACGGGAGAACTTTCCTACTTATTTTCTTAAAAGTGAAGGATATGGTGAATTCAGGGGGAGTAAGAAGAAAGCAAGGGTAGGAAAACTAGAAGTAAAAAAAATTTGAAACTGAAATTTCGAGGTTAAAATATAGAAAGAAGAGCGGGGAAAAAAACATATAGTGAAAAAAGAAATAAAGCTACAGAGAGTATAGAATTGCTCTTGGTAATAAATGATTTAATATAGGGATTTATCAATATAGGGATTTATGAAGAAGTAGAAGGAACTGGAGAGATAATAGTAAGCGTTAAACATTAAGCATTAAGCACAGTAGGGTCAGGCGGGTTTAGGGGGGGTGTACAGTACAATAGCATTGCCCCCGGGTAGCGTATGTTATTGCCCCTGGTCGTGCTGGTCGTGGCGGGCCACCGTCCACTCCGAATTTTGGAGCTCTGGAATCTCGCATAACCCTCCCTTCGCCCTACCGCGTAGGACAAACACCATCATCAAAAAAGCGCGACGTGATCCCCTTGCCGTTAGATCCAGCGTGAAATAAATGTGAGTGCGAATTTATCAACATCTAAAGAGTATGAGTCTAATACTTTTATAGTTACTGTACAATTAATTCAATACTGTGTCGCGCAGTGCTGAGCGCAACGAGGTCCAGGCAAAAGGGGTGTTACAACCCCCCTCCCCTAAAATCAGTCGAGAGAGAAAAAAAACGCGAGAGAAGGAGGCAAAAATGGCTTCCAACCACAAACCCATCCGTTCGCGGTTCTCCAGTCCGTTACATTCGAGCTCGCCTTCCGGTTATAATGGTCAAAGAACATTCATGCAAAGGTGGCTCGAACCACCAGTGCAGAACAAAGCCAGCTTCCAGGAGGCAGGACTAATTAGAGGCGGAGTGGTGGAAAACATGGCTCCTCTGGGTACATTACCAAAGGCAGCTATGCATAAGAAATTACCTGTAAATGGAGAGGCATTGCCAACTCCTCCGGTGAAGACACGGATTGTTTTAAAGAAACCATACGTTACCCCGACAGTTACGGAGAGGGTACCGAGCAGAAGAGAAGAATCGGCCGAAGAGGCGGGTGCTGAGGTGGATATGGTGGACGCGGTGGATGCAGTGGATGCGGCACCATTATCGCCATTATCCCAGCCTCTCCTTCCAATTTCAATTATGGACGATGGAGAAGATGAAGATTATGTGCCTAAAAAATCAAAGGTGCGACCAACTTCCAACCAGGGCAACCAGGGCAACCAAGTCGACGAAATCGACGAAATCGACCAAGTCAACCAAGTCACCCCGAGCAACGCAGCAAGAAGACATTCTTCTAGGCGACGAAGTGCACGAACCAGCCCTACACCAGCTGATTCTTCACCTATTCACATTCACCGCGCAACCATAACAACAACTACACCCACAATCTCATCTCCTCATTTTCATCCTCCTACTTCTATTCTAAATCATCGTGAACCCGACAAAGAATTTGCAGATAAAGTTGTCGAGGCTGCGGTAGACGAGGCTCTTAGGCATTATCGCTACCCCACAGCCTGGGCACTTCGTCTACTTTACGATGAAAATTCATCTGACCCTCACTTTGTGTCTATGATTGAAGATATTTATCATCAACGAGCAGACATAGATACAATCAAAGAGTTTAACAGGCTTGTATCCGACAAGAAAAAGGACGGTAAAAAGGATAACAAAGGCTGTTACTATTTTGTGCCTCCGTCGACGGGTAGCCGCTTTACGCCTCACAAGCCGAAGCCTGCACCTTATGCAGAACTGGTCAAAATGGATCTAAGCATTCTTCCTGAAGACACGCCCGATGAGCATGTCAGTAAGAAAGTGAAGCTTGATCTTGATGAAGATCTTGACCAAAATGAAGATGGCATGGCAAACGAAGGCAGCAACCATTCCATTCAACTCAAAATAAATGGAATCAGCCGTCTTAAAGGTCTCACAGGCACCAAGTCACCAACCAAGTCACCACGAAAGTCACCACGAAAGTCACCAAAGTCGCGAAAACAGCGATCAGGATCTGTTAGCAGCTCGTCATCTCTATCTTCAGTTCCTGATGATGTACCCGATGACTATGAAGAGTACATGGATCAGGTGGATGACAACCTGGGTGTCGCGCGTCCCATAGCTGCCGAGCCAAATAATGCGCAAATCCCGGCAGGCTCAAGCCAGCCAATCAGCAGCCACCAGAAGAAACCCGCCGCGAAAAAGAAGAATGGTGCATCACCCAAGCATCCGCCCTCACAAAACACTACCCGTTCACACCCTCCCTCTCGTGATTCGAGTATGCCCGCTGTTGTTACTGCTAACGGTTCCCCCCATCCGCCCCATCACCATCAGAACAAGCAACAAGCATCTACCAACTTGAAGTTTGCGAGCAGATTTGGAGAAGTAGATGATTCTGATCTACTTGTTCGCAAAAAGTTGAGCAAGAAGTTGGAGAATACCAGTACCACCAAGGACATCTGCGAAGATAGCTTCATCCGCAAGCCCCTTGACTTTGACGCTATACCCTTCGAGCTGGCTATTCCGCCTCCGCCTCCGCCTCCTCCTCATGCAGCGGAACAGAGCCGCTCATCTCGGACGCCAGCTTTGAGCTCGCGAGCTGCCAGAGCGGCTAAGAGACATCATGACGATCTTGATGATTCCATCTCACCTACTGCGCTGTCATTCAGAGCTGCCGATCTGGAGCCGCAGTCCTCGGCCCGCGGCTCGCGTGCCGCGACGCCTTCCAACCCTCGCTCCAACAAGAAGCCCCGAGCAGGACTGCGCGTGAAGAATTCGTGAGTTCCCTTTCCTCACCCCCCCCTAATCTATTGCTGCGTTGTATTTTGTTGTGTTGCGTCGCGGTGTTGTTTTAATTATCACAGCGTGGTCCGACCGAATGAGGTGTGCTGTCACAAAGCAAGGCCCAGCCAAGTGGCGATGTGGCACCACATGATTTCATATCGGGCCAAACTTAATTCCTACGTGGAATCCTTTACTTTACTCGCGAGGCCTATATCTACGTTGCAAGGGAGCATTCACTAACCAACGCCTGTTGTACGTGATAGACCGATGAAAAAGAAGGGCACTTCTGCGGGAATTCCTCGTAGTAATGGTGATCGGCAGAGCCCTGTGGGCAACGGACCGCCGAACAACCAGGTGAGCAAAAATTCCATCCTTTTATTACCTCCATCTCTACGGACGTAGACAATCGCGCTCCTCGTCCCATATACTACATGCGTTTGTGCGACTTTATCCCGCGGCGGGCCAAGGGAGGCTTAGCCCTAGGACTGCAAACGCGCGAATTCGGAGCGGTGGCGATTGGATCCTCTTGGTTCCCGCTTGGACCCGAAACTGCTGCATCAACTATCCGCGACATGTGTCCCATATTCATGCTGACGAGATCCGCTAGGACGAAAATGACGACTCCTGCTATACTTGCGGGGGTAATGGTGAACTGGTCTGCTGTGATGGATGCAATTATTCCTTCCACTTCCTATGCATAGATCCTCCGATGGACGAAGGCCGCATGCCCGATGAATGGTATTGCAACGAATGCAAGCATCGCCAATGCCCACCTTTCAGCGAGCATGATGGGCCCTTGCGTTCCCTATTCACCGTCCTAGACAGGAAGAACCCTAGAGCGTTTCGTCTTCCCGAGGACATCAGAGATCTTTTTGAGGGTGTTCGGACGGGGCCTGAGGGCGAGTACGAAGAGATTGCCCCTCCTAAGCCCAAGTAAGTTTAAATTGCCCTGCTTCTTATGTCTACCCGGCTAATTCGTCCCCCTTCTAGGACGAGCAAGAAGAATGTCGATGAGCCCTTTGACTTCTTCAAGGTCAGAAACGCGGATGGCGCAGTGCTTTGTCATTATTGCCAGAAGGGAGTATCGGATAACCGTCCCATTATTCCCTGCTCGGTATGCGGGCTTAATTGGCATCTCGAATGCTTAGATCCGCCTTTGGCCGTCCCGCCCGTTCCTCGGACCTGGCGCTGCCCTTGCCACGTTGACGACATGCTTAGTGAGCTGCCTGAAAGACTGGCACCGGCACATCGCCACCGCAAGATCAAGAATGCGCCAGTCATCGAGCAGAGCTACAGTAGAGGGATGGCCAACGACGGTTGGATAGAGATCGAGAACGACGACAGCGAAGATGATGCAGATGCTTGGCGACGGCACAAGGGCTTTGGTCAGGTCCACCGACTATCTGCAAAGGGCATCAAACTGGATTTCATCTCCCGGTAAGATAATTCAAGGCACGTTTTTTTAACTAACAAGATGCTAATCTATGAAACAGTATACGCCAGAACCGCCAACAAAGCTCTATCCGGGTTGGTACGTCTAGCCCTGCTCCTGCAGTTCAATCCAAAGCACGGACTCTTCAGGAGCAGCAAGCGGCATTGAACCTTGCTCAGCTGGCTGGCGGTCCTAACGATGGTCTCAGTATATTACACGAAGCCATGATAGTAAGTCAAATTATATCCTTTGTTCGTATTGTGAGGCTAATAACATATACAGTCCCAAGCTAGTCCTAGTGTTCTTTCCCTCATGGCAGCCGGGGATGCTACACGCATTGCCGCTGGTGGTCTGTCCTCAGTTGACATTGCTAGTCTTGAGGCTATGCTTCTTCAAGCGGATTCCATGAGAGAGGCTATCCGCCAGACTCTGCAGGGCAGAAATCAGCATAGTTCAGAAAGTACTGCGGATGAAGCATCATGCGAAGATACGAAGCTCGAGATACCCTTTTCAAACGAGAGCCCCGAAGACGACAAGACTGTTGTTGCAGATGATAAGAACTGCACTCCGAGTAAAGACGCCGCTCGTGACTCTGACGACCATGATCGCAAGCCCACTGCCGATGATTCTACAATGCAGATCGACTAAAAATATCATCCCTCCGTACGCCGCGCACGCTGTTGCTTTTGCAATGTTTTACGTTTCCTTTGAAATGGTCGTGGCAGAATCTTGTCTGCCCTAGACCACGGAATCATATGGATTTCGATACCTGCGAACCGAGCATGAAAGATATCGAAGCTTCGTATCCATGGTATCAGATCGTATTAATTTTCTTTACTCCATCAACATGATTTGACGGAAATCGCATTAATTTCATTCGCATTATCACATGGCGATTCTCAGTTATCGGGTTTCCTTGGAAGCCGTTGGAAACGAATTTGCAAGAGAGGTGATTTCACCACCTGAGCTTTTCTAGTTCCTATGCATTTGCAAACGGATGTTATATCCACCGGAACCCTGTTTGAGACGGGGCCTATTTCGACTCTGGACATGATCACGGGTCACAGTGCATCATACCTTCAACATCATCTCAAAGGCGATAATGGAAGACTGGAAGATGGTCTTCGCCGGCCTCAATTTGTGTATTTGTACTCAGGACGGGGAGACCGAATACGCGTGCAGTCGGGCAAGGGCAGGGAGGAGTGCCATTAGTAGGAACAGGCAAATCACGAAGCTCTCGAGATGCTGGGGAATTCTTTTCGACCGATTCATTCACCCTGTTCATATTTGCAAGCCCTCGGTTAACATAGATTTTGGTTTCTTTTCGACACAACCTTCGCAGGCTGGCCCAGTCCAGAGGAAAGCAGCCGGAGAAGAAATACCTCGGCGAGTGTGGACCAGGTCCAGGGATTTTTTCTCTTCGCTGACCTAATTCTCTTGCTTTTTTGTTTTTATTCCATTTGCCCGACCGGTCTCTCGACAATATTTTCTCGTCCCTCCTTTTCTCGGGCCCCCGAAAAAAAAAAAAAAAGGCAAGAGCAAGCAAGAGAAAGCCAAAAACCCATGCGAGTGGATAGGCGGATCGCGGATCGGCGTTGACGTGAGGGGAGGGAAAACTGGATCGTTGCACTTAGAGAGCTAGCTTCACCTAGTAACTATAGTCACCTGTTCGTATACTAGTAGTAGGAAACGCAGATTTTTTTTTTCTCCCCGTAGTTCCCAGACTTCTATTGCGTTGACTGGTTTTTAATAAGTGGCTGGTCTATCTAACGTATAGCGCTGCTACTAAAGAGACTGAAGACAAGACAAGCTGGTAGTATGAATATATTGTGGCTGGCTAACTAACTAACTAACCCGGCTGTATGATCGGTACTTAGATATTTATTTATCTATTATTCCAAGTAGGTAACCTAGGCCGTCTTGTCTCGAACGAGGTACGCAACTAAGAGAGAGAGAAAAAAATATAACCGGATCTACACCGAGTTCCGTAACCCCGAGTCCCGGCGGGCTGGGCCCAAATCGAGATGGCTGGTTAGGTCGACTCTACACTAACTACCCAAGCCATTATCCATGGATCATCGCCGCTACACAGTACCTAGGTTAGGTAGGATAGGATAGGATGTTACGACTTGACGGGCTACACTACACATACGTCAGCCAGAGAGACATAGACGGAAAGGGATAGATGACCTAGAGGTCTTTGCTGATTTGACTGACCCACTGTAGGGTAGCCACGTCAGCTCGACAGGGCGTATATACATAATGAATAGCATAGTATAAATGGATGGATGAAGGAGTAATTTACGGTTGACTACCTAACCCAAGTACGAAATATAGGTATATACATACATACATATATCTAGGTAGGTATGTACGTGTCTACATACGTGCAACTCACACGCCAGGTGTTCGTTCATCTTTCTACGACACACGTAACTACAGCCTATCAAGCAATAAGCAAGCACGCCCGCCCCCTTAAACTCTATCCTAACTTTATACCAGGTTAGGTTAGGTCAGGTTAGGCTAGGTAGGTACCTACGTAGACCCTACGCGAGTCACGAAGAGCAGCAGCGGCGGGAGGCCGGTGGGAGGTACGTACGTAGCCTTATAGTTATAGGGGCATCAGAGTCCATCTAGGCGGCGGCCATTAGACAGCACAACTTATTAGAACCTGTCCACTTCAGGGGGGCAGGTTTGCGAGAAAGATAGGTAGGTAGTGTTACATAGGTGTTGCTTCTCCTATACTTCCTTCAATCCTCTTCTACTCTTTACTCTTTACTCTTTGCTCACTTAGAGATGGGACACATTACAAGACAAGGTAGGATGCAAGTAATTAGCAGGTGAGTACATGTATTTATTACCTAGGTACATACAGACAGCTAAGCTAGTAAGCCCGAGCAAAAAAGTGCCGCCGATGATGCAATAAGTCTCGGCAGTTTCGAGTTATAGCCCAAGGAGGCTTCACTAAAACATCGTGGTGGATACTAATCATACCTAAGTACACGCGCAAAATAAACAATAAACTACGTAAGCATCAAAGAGAAAGTAAAATAGTACCACTAGAGAAAAGGCGGTCATCTTGCGAGTTCGTTGTATCGCGCTGTCGGTGCCCGCAAGACGATACCGAAGAGTATGTCATACGACGATATGCCAGGATCGTCGTTCCGAATGCCTAATCACACAAGTCGGAGCGGTGACAAACAACCCTCCAGTTAGAGTTAAAGGAGAAAGCACCTCCTCTCACCGCCATTCACAACTCTAGTATCACGAAAAGAACGAACCCGGAATGGGCGACATGAAAGTGGAAAAAAATAAAAAATCATTCGTCTCTTAAAATATTTTTCCTATCCATCTACTCGGCTTAGTGATGCTAGTCCCTCTGGCCACTCAGGAGTTGGTGTCTCTCCCTTGCTTTGGATGGGGTCGTCACAGAAGCCGAAGCGAAAGCCAATTGCGAGCAAGTCTTCCGTTGCAACAGGAGAGCCTTTTAGAGCAGAGATCCAATTTCTCCGCACACATCTCTTACTCCGTGCCACATATGCTTCATCAACCCTAGTTGCTTTTCTCTATATCGCCTGCTGATGATAGAATCGCGTCAAAGTTCAAGAAATCCGGTTGAACTTTGGCTGGCCCGCGCGGAGCAACTGACTTTGTACACATAATAAACGTGCCGGAATACCCCTTCGTTCATAAACACTCACCGCGATTCCAAAACATGGCCGCGAGGTGAAGCCCGTCTAAGAATTGCTCAACGGTCACGGTCACATTTCGACGAAGGTAACCGTATAGAGATCCAAGTACTGCCAGGGTGGTTTCCAGCCCTCCACAGCGTACCAGGCCGTGCTGCTAGCTGGGTCTCGGTGGATTGCCCACAACTGCTTTGCCACAAACTTCAGAATATAAATCAAACATGCCAAGCCTACCAACACCCCTATCTGTACAATCATGCAATTCGGAATAATAAAACGCACAAGGACGTAGATAAGCCATCCAATCTCGTGTGAAACAGTCAAGATGACCTCTGAGATCATCTCTGAAGTCATCTGTCAGCATCGTCGGAAATTACGGTCGAGGTGACCTCTTCCGTTGAGGGGGTTGACCTACGCGTCCGCGCCTGGCGTTGACCGGTTGCTCTTGCATGTAGGGCATAGCATTGCCGTAGCCGTAACCTCCCATGCCCATTCCCATTCCGAAGCCAGGGGGGCCGAACCCAGCAGGAGCCCCGGGCGGTTGGATGGGACTACCGTTAGCTGCGCTCTGCCCACGGTACTGGTCCATTGAGGGGTTTGCATTGCTGTACCCTCCGAAGCCTGCTTGCATAGGCGGGAAGTAGTTGTTCATAGGCTGTGTTCCGCGCGGGAGCATATTTTGCTGGTACTGCAATTGCTGCATATTTACCGGTGGTGCCATCGATCCGCCAGTTGCATTGTACATAGAGCCTTGAGGTCCATACGACGGAAATGCAGACATTCCAGACTCCACGCTCTCACTTCTAGGTACCGGGAAACCGCCCATATCAAAATTCGAGGCGTTACTGGTAGGATTGAGCGGGTTCAGATACTGGTTGCCGTACTGAGAATTTTGCTGCACGGCAGCGTTGTTAGCCTGAGCCTGGCGGGATGCGGGTCGTTGCCGTTCAGTCGACGGGTTGTTGCCCACAGAATGATCGCGGGATCCGCCTCCTCCGCCACCACTGCGAGTAGATAGACCGACTTCATCCATTAGACGCTTGTAGCCCTGGTTAGGTTGCGCCTTGATGCGGACGAGAACACTTTTCACATTCTCTACTACCTGACCCCTTATGCTCTCGTCGAAGAACGGCGTAGTGAGAACCTTGAAGATCAATGTAGCACCGCATGAGTGGTCGCTCAAAATAGCCTCCAGCGTCTGATCCTTGGGAGTAAAGAATAAAGCCTTCAAAATGACATCCCTTGCATCTGGTTCCGCCTTCTGGTTAATGACTTTCAGAACGGTAAGATACGCAACCTTATGTGTGCAGAGATGTACAAGGTAGGGGACAAGCTGGGGAGCTAGAACACTACGCCGTTGGGGGAATGTACAAGTATCCAAGAACCAGGTCAATAGAAGGGCACCGTTCGCGTTGGTCGCCAACTGTACGCTGTGAAGCGCAATAGTTGCTGCAAGCATTCTTTGCTGGTCCTTAGTAGCATGATGACTCTCGAGACACGCCCGCATAGCTCGCGCACCGTATCGGCCTTGAGCAATATCCCACATCTTACTGAGCATGGTCTCAAAGATAAAATCATTGAATGGAGCGCCGAATTTGAGACATCCTTGCAAGACATAGTTGCCGTATTGGTCTAGGAACAACGGAATAGTGTACGCACGCAGGTGCTGAACGATCAGGGTCATCTGGTGAGGCGTCTTACACACATCAATAATTTTCTGAGCTGCCCAGGTACCGTTCTTATGAACGCCGATTTCTGCCATGTGCGGAGAGATCTTGGCTAGCATAAGATCTCGGATGTTGTCTGAGCAGTGCTCGAATAACTTTTGAACAACGGTATTGCCCAGATAATCCGAGGACAGTTCGGAGATCTCGGGAAGCATCTCGGTGGCAATGTGTTCTATATCCCCCTGAGACAAACTTTGATTGTCAATACGCTTTCGGATATCCCTCAACTTCGGCGCATCATGAACCCTTGTATGGGTGGGCTCTCGAATTGGAGGAATTTCGTCAGCAAACGTATTGAACTGGATAGCTTGCTGAAGATTATGGGAGATACGGTATGTGTCTTCGTCTGTGGCGCCAAAGGACTTGACGATTTGGAGGATATCTGCCGTCATTTCGTGCAAAGGTGGGATTACCGGCGCTGCATTCGCCGCGTTCGAGGCGTTTGCCGCATTATCAGCC